CCCCGGCGGGCTTCGTCTGCGAGGGGAGGAATGTTGCGCTTGCCTTGGAAGAAAACGAAGATGGGCGAACAGGCTGGCTGCCTGAAGCTGGAGGAAGAAAGAAGACGACGCCACTGCGATCATCAACCTGTTGGCCGCTCCGGCGCTTCTCTTCGCGACCAAAATAAACGGCCCCATTCAGCCGTATACGTCCTGGTCCTCCTTGTGCGTAACAATATCACACTGCGTAACAAAAAATTGGCCCCGTATCTGCATGCTTCATTGTAAATGTCACTGAAAGACGAGTCTTGCGTCTGTAGAGAGTGAACAAAACGTTTATTTGATGTACTGTGCGAGAAAACCGGTGGATTTTATTCTGAAGGTGCTGCGTTAGAGTGTCTTGATCCGTGCAGCAAAGGCGAATGAGTGCATGGAGTCACGTTATACGAGTGCCACCTGGCAATTATCTTCGAAAACGAAGAAAGGCGTGCGTGCCTGTCTCGTAGGCGATAAGGTGCAGAACGCGAAGCAACGGGCAGGTGCCACCACCATGTCGTCTTAGTAAAGCGCTGGAAACACTTGCCTTTTCATGCAAGCGTTGCATGGTCAGCGCAGCGTGATAAACGCTAAGGTCCTTAGTATTACTTATGTTGCCTTTCCTGGTATAAAGACACACATACAGAATATTGACGTGTTATTTTAGTGCCTCAGATATGCGCAGTAATTGCTTTTTGATTGACAATCGCACAAGTATTAACGCTGAAACTTGAGCAATATTGGTGGGCGCTACGAATAGGATTGGCCGCTTAGAGTATGGATAGGGGCTGTTAGGGCCCTAGGGTATCGTCATCTCGGATAACCCTTGCGAACTTTGCGGGAGCTGCATGGAGAACGTTGCTCTCCCATAGTAGAATACCAAGTACTCTAAATCGTCAACCACTTTTTCTAAACACACAAAAGGACAAATGCACAGACAGACAGACAGACAGACAGACAGACAGACAGACAGACAGACAGACAGACAGACAGACAGACAGACAGACAGACAGACAGACAGACAGACAGACAGACAGACAGACAGACAGACCGACAGACAGACAGACCAATATTTTTTCGTCGATGTACCCCAAAAAAGATTATCGTTATTATAATATTTGCGTCTCCTTGCATATGACTGATGTGTTTTAGCCTTGAGAAGGCAAGATAAATAATTGAAGTGTGAGCTAACGAACATTGCCCTGAGTGTATTTACATAATGGATGAGGAGGATGAATTTTTATTCGAAGAATCCGGCAGCCTTGGTTGTGCGGATCCCTCTCCTTCTATTTTTTTTTGAAATGCAAGGCATCATCATGCCTGCACTACGCGATGACAATCGACAAATGGGGATTGTGTGCACAACTAGTGGGGCAGCATGAAAGCCATCTTTGAAGGCATTTCAGAAGCAAATCATCTTATGGTCGGACTCAATTCGGTGTGCATGCGTGGCCACCCTTAGTGCGCATTATCGACATCTGACACAAGCACAGCTAGAACGCACTCGCGCGCAAGTGCTTTCGGGCCTGTATAAAAAGCTGGGTAAGACACCGTGGCCTCTCCGCCTTACTCTCTCTCAGCAATAATGTGATGGCGTCCAGGAACGCGCGATGAACCGACGCACTGTATCCAAGCAGAACGCGCTGGCACGCGCTAGCGCGTGCGGTAACTGTGTAAGGGGCGGTGTGAGAGGCTGCGGTCTCTCCACTTTACACTTCCTCAGCATTCACGTGATGGCGTCGGAAAACGAGATTCTGGAGAAGTGCCATGAACCCACGTGCTGCGGCGTGGCGTGCTCCAACAAGAGTTCGGGACGAGTAACTGCAGCAGAAACTACAGTGAATTCACAGTGTGCTTCACTTGCAAGGATTCGTTAACATCGGGCAAGGTACCGGTGACGAATTGAAGATTAAGCTGACTCATGCGATGCTTCGCAGGCTACTCATGGGTTCCTTTAGTGGGAGATGGTGTAATGTTTTAGAGCGCGCGCATTCCTTCCCTTACAGGCCGGCTCAGGTATTCAGCATAAAGCTCAGGATAGCAAACGAAGGACAAGGTTGCTTACCTCTGCAGCCACTGGATGATTTGTCAGATAAGAATAAAATAGAAAAAAAAACAGATGTAGATTTTTGGAGCACAAATGGAGCGAATCTTTCTGAATGTGGATCCTCAAAGTACTGCTGATAAAGTCTGCTAAGCCAGGGTGTATAGTGGCACAGTGTGCAGTGGGGATGAAAACGACGAGGTCTCATTTTCCTGGTGAAATGTCTTGATGGCAATCCGGGTGATAGTTGAAGTGCTGTGCAGCACCGATTATTTTAACGTGATAGTGGTAATGATCCCATGCAGGAGAAATTCCGGCATCGGTGCTCGACGCGTTTTGCGTGATCAAGGAATCACGATGGACACAAAGAATATAAAAAAATCGCAGCATACCAACGAAGTGCATGGTGATGAGCGGGGCGAAGCGTCCATCAGTCCATGCGTTCGTTTTTGCTTCCATCCGTCCGTGCGTCCATCTGTGCGACCATCCATCTGTTCATCCATTTTTCCGTCCGTCTGAGCGTCCATCCGTCTCTATGTGCGTCCATCCGTGCGTCCGTTCGTCCATGCGTCCGTCCATCCATGCGTCCGCTAATGCGCCTGTCCATCCGTCCGTCCGTCCATCTAGTGAACACTCCAAGTACCTCCATCTCGCATCTTTTCATCATATGGAATGTCCGCTGGATGGCGGTACTTTTAGAGGAGTACCGCCATCCAGCGGACACTTCAAGGACTAAACCAAGAAGGATTAAATAATCCCCCTTGGACTAAACGAGAGGTGGCACGGCCGGACTAGAGGAGCATGACGCGCGTACTCACGGTGAGCGCTTCGTGTTTAGTTCCCACTTTTCACCGCCGCGAGCTCATGGCACTGCGGCCCAACCGTCGCTAAACCTTGCAAAACCTTGCCCAGTGAATTTAACGTGGCAACCTACTCTGGTCAGATAGTACGCAGAGTGCGTCCTTCTGTTACTAGTTTTCTTTAGTAAGCATCAAATTCAAGGCAAATTTCTCTGGAAATTGTCACCGGTACTCGTCTCTGTAGGCTATTTCACCAGAAACTATCTTTTTATTTATGATTACCTTGCGCGGGTTTCCTCCTCAATTCAAAAGGGTGTGGGCGTGGAGTTCCTCTAGTCCGGCCATGAAGGTGGCTACCTACTACTACTACTACTACTACTACATAGAACGCGAACGCATGACCCATAGCTTAAGTAGCTTCGCCCCTAACACAATGGGCTCGATCCGGAATCGAACACGGGCATTCTTTGAGGCTGAGAGGTGTTCTACCCCAGAGCTACAACAGTGCTTTTAACTACTTTGGGAAGAAATCCCATGAAGGCTTCATGTGGGACAAACAGTGTCGTCACCAGACCTAATACTGTGCGGCAAAGGTGTAGGATTGCACCAAGCAAAGGGCTGCCCACAAATAGCTGCCCGTTAATGTGATCCTTCAAAGTTGATAATTTTCAAAGTTTGCAGTGACATAGGAATGCGCAAGGGACGCGCACTGGGTACTTCGCTAAGTATAAAAAATATATATTATACACTAAGAAGCACTTCGCAACAGTAGTTGCAATAGGCCCCCCAGGAAAATTTAGAACGGTCAATCCACAGTGACCGTCATTTCTTCCCAGCTTAGCTGAGGTGTTCCTCCAAAATCTAAGGATAGCAACCGAAGGAGAAGGTGGCGTGAACAGGGCCCGATAACGAAATCGAGTTCCACTCTTAAAAGAGAAGCTTAAGTATTCTCCATGTCAATAGTGCAGATGAGAATCCAATTAAGCTATGCTGTTAGCAGTTTCAAGCACATTCAGATACGTAGCCAGTGGTTTTATTGTTTTTTTTAGGGAGAAGGTGGAAATTTGGTATAGTCAACAACACAACTTTATAAGCAGAATGCTCAATATATGAGTAAATATTTTAAAGCGACCCGTAATTTGACTCTGCGCCTCTTATTTATCGTCCGGCCGATCGGTCTTATCATACTTGCTAAATATGGCTATCTTTTAATAAAACTATGTGATAATTAAATTTAAAGGAACTCTCAAACGAAACAATAAATTAGTGTAGACTGATAAACTGTTCTCTAAAAACTCCTGAGTTGTTGTTTCACTACAGTTGGCCTAATATATGAAAAAAAAAAACAATGCAAAATGCTTACATTTCAAAGCGTCACAGATTCAAGAGTTTTTTTTTGTATGTTGGCCACATTGGCAGAAAGAAGAGTTTTGAAACTTGGTGTGCCAAGTGTCTGGCTATCTCGGAAAACAATGCATTTATATTTTGACCAGTTATGAACTACGTCAAGGCCTACTAGATGCCATCCGAATCTACGACGTCTTGGTCACATGTGCGTGAAAGCTATGGTGGCCCCGGCACTCACGCTTCGTTTTCTCGCGTTTTGTATTTTCACTCCACGCTTGGTATTTTTGGTATCGCGAACAAGAAATTTAGGGAAAAAAAAACTGTTTCTAGTGTCTTTTCAAAACTACACGCACATATACTAATTGACTACTGATGACGGAGCGAAGAAGTATGCATTGGATCATAAATTATGGCCTTCTATTTCGCTCTGGCAAAGAGCCTTTATTTATTCTCGTTAACGTTTTGTTCTGTAATATGCTTTGATTGATGGGTAGTCGAGTGTCAGCATTTTTACGGTATTGTGGCTTTTTGTTTTGTTTGTTCTGGGTTACAGACTTTTCATAGCCGTTTTGTTATTCAGAGATGTTTCAGTTCATTCGCATGCACCAGCGCTGCATCAATTCTAGACTATGGCGGTCGGATGGTCATTGTGAGATCTTGAGGTGCTTCGCCCATAAAACAATACTCGTGGTTTCGCAATCGTTTGAAACGCTTATATAGAGTACCTGCCAACACCTTACAGTGTTAGAGTAACACAAAAGAATAAAGCAACGAAAATGAGCGAAAACACTCACATTTGACCCGCAGGTAGAGGTCGTTGCTGACACCACGTCCTTCCTTATTGGTGGCGGCGCAGGCGTACCTCCCCCGCTGAGCCCTTTGCACACGTTGAAGCACGAGCGTTTGGGTGCTGACTATGACGCCCGCCGAAGCGTTGGCGGAGAGCTCGCGACCCTCGAACAGCCAGGTGATGTCCGTCGTGTACGGATTGGCCACGATCTTGCAGTCCAGGTATACTTCCCGGCCTTCCTGGATCTCGGAGTCCTTCAGCTTACCGCTCAACTGGAGCGTCACCATCGGCGTATCTGTGGACAGACGGAAAAGAGGTTTGGAAAGAGAAGGCTCCGTTTTAAAGACTTTGACGCGAAAATTTTGGTCTGTCTGTCTGTCTGTCTGTCTGTCTGTCTGTCTGTCTGTCTGTCTGTCTGTCTGTCTGTCTGTCTGTCTGTCTGTCTGTCTGTCTGTCTGTCTGTCTGTCTGTTCATTTGTCTGTTAGTTCATCGTAACGATACCCCAAACAGCACTAAATGATACTCCAAACAGCCAACCCCATCCGCAGCGCCCACCAACATTGTTCAAGTTTCAGCGTTCATACTTGTGAGATTGTCAATTAAAAAACAATTATTGCGCATATCTGTGGCACCATGACGACACGTCAATATTTTCTATATGTGGCTTTATACTAGAGAAGGCATAAATAATTCTAAGGACCGTAGCGTTTACCACGCTGCGTTGACAGTGCAACACTATGCTCAAAAAGGCAAGTATTTCCAACGCTTTGCTAAGACGACACGGTGGTGGCACCTGCCCGTCGGTTTGCGTTTTACACCTTATCGCCTGCAAGACAGGCACGTCCACGCCTTCCTTCGTTTTCAAAGATAACTTCCAGATAGCGCTCGTGTCTAACGTGCCCCAATTTGCTCGTTCGCCTTCACTGCACGGATCGAGACCATCTAACGCAGCGCCTCTAGAATACAATTCACCGATTTTCTCGCACACAACATTAAATAAACTTGTTCAGTCTCTCCAGACGCAATACTATCATCTTTCAATGGCATTTGCAGTGAAATATGCAGATACAGGCCCAGTTTTTTTATTATTCTAATTCAGTATCAACATTTGGCTGTACGGCTATCACTTTCAAGGCTGTGGTTATTGCTCGGGAATCTGGGCCGGAATTCAAAACAGCTTCTTCAAATGTAATTGTTTGCCAGAGAAAGTTATAGCCAATTTCGAGGTGGGACATTTTAGCAGAAGCTACCGGCTTGCATATGACAGCGCTCACGGAAGAAATGCGAGTTGAATTTGAGCCCTGATCACTGTTATTTTCTCAGTGTTACAGTGCTTATACTAACAGAAGTGAGGCAATTACAGATGTCTATGACTTCGCAATATCTTCTTAGTTAAGTAAAAAAAAAACATAGTTACTCTGTTAAAAGAAAAGTAAAATGGTACTACCTGCACTTCTATCATAGATAGCACACGTCTGACTTAGGCACATTGGCGCTCGATATGTAGGTTATCGCGCGAGCGTCGACCTGCCTAACGTCCCAGGGGCCAAGCCGCACGTTTTGTAACTGTGAAAATCGAGATTGCGCGTTCTTGCCTGCTTCGTTGGCGGTTTCATGCTACAGAAATCACCCCTATGATACACTGTACAACCTTTATTTTTTATTGCGGGCTTTTCACTCTTTTTCATTATTTATTCATTGTGTTCTTCGCTGGCTCTGCTCTCCGCGGTCGAGTACAAATTTGATTCGAAGATGTGGAAAACACGGTGCTTGGCGCCACTTCGTTCAAACAGCTTTCTCAGACTGGAGTGATCATAGCTTTAGGAACAGCCAGAACATTGCGTATAGCTAGCGTGATACCGCACTCCCCAAGACAAGGTATTCTGGGGTGTGACCCTGTCACAGTTCTTGGTCGATGTTCGCGAGATAACCTTCCGCCCCGCTCGGCAGTGCGTTCGGCGTTCATGCTTTCAATAATGAGAAACGTCTAAGCACTCAGCAGCCAAACAGAGTGAGTGCGATAACAAGTGACAGCAACCGCTTTCTTCTTCACTTTCTGCTGGCCCCGGTATCTGCCGATGAACCCGCCATGGTGTTCTAAAGTGGTCATGATACTCGACTGCTGACGCGAAGGGCACAGCATCAAATACCAACCAAGGCGGCAAGGTTTGAGGTCCGTGTGCTTAGATTTTCGTGGAAGGTTAAAGCCCAGGTGATCCAAACGTTTGGAGCCCTTCCCTGCGAGCGTCCCTTTTAACCATATCGCGTTTTATGCGATTAAAGCCCCGATAAATGATATTGTATGTGTTGTAGCTCCATAATAAAGATGGAAATAAAATTACAGCTAGTGAAAGGACAGAATCCAGAATAAAACATTTACTTCATAAATGAAACCGAATATCTTAAAGACATCACTATACGGAGGAGTGGTGATGAACATCCGTTATGTAAAATGGAGGAGTAGTAGAAGTCGAAGAAAATAATTATGCGAGGGAATTCGATCTATCGTCAACGATAACAATATTGATTTATTCTTAACGGGAGTTAATAAAGATATAAAAATTTAATTTCAGTCAAACTATAATCAAATTTTGAGATTTCGATGAGGCCCCAAAACATGTTTCGCGGAATTCTTTAACGAGATATTGTGCTGAAAATCAAATTGTGGGAACACTGTCCAATAACTTAAACTTCTTTAGTTGCACTTTAAATGAACCTGACACTTCTACTAGTATTGCTAAGAACAAAATCAACCGATTGCAAGAAAAAACAAGAAGCTTTTTTCAATCGGTAATATTTTCCTGGTGCATTAATTAGTTGTTTATATCATTATATTCTAGGATGTTGATTTAAAAAGGAGGATCTAAAGCATAAAACCTGATTAATTAATGCAGTTAGCGTAGTTGCAGAACCACGCTTTAAGAAATTAACAAAGTACAGGTATTACCATCTTTCTTTGTTCATTGACCTGATATGGTAGCGTACCTGAAACAATTCTCGCGTTGCTTGCTTTTACGGCCTGAAAAGCTTATAAGATCCTTCGTATAGCTAATTATATACGCAGCAAGAAACTTCCTCCGACCACAAACACGTTGTGCTTCCTACTTAGATACAATAGGCAGGTGATTAACGCAAACATTAATCTTCCTAATTGCAGAGATGTATACGATGAACCGTTTTCGGAATTACCTGGTGGAACAATTTAGAACGCTGTACTTGCGAAAATCAAACTTACTGAAAATCTTAACTTCGCTCGAAAAACTTTTCACTTGTCCAACCATGAGTCATAACTCTTCCTTAGCGAATTGCTGCTGGCACAGTTATTACCGGTTGCTATTGGTTCGAGTGGTGTATATGTATTTCTGGATCGTACGAAGAAATCTACGTGTCAACTTTACGATTTGGTTTGTTCTATGTTGACATTTTTTCCACTGGGTACGTTAGGCCAATTTAATTTAAAATATTTCTGTCGCTGGGGTTTAAAAGAGGTAGTGTTTCTTTTGTTTCATCGTTTCGAGATGCGGCTAACTCTACAGCTCAGCTCTGTGTGCATACATCTCCAATTCTTCGAATCATCTCCGTGTAAATACCGATCTACCGATTTCACCACCAGTGTTTACGCAAAAGAGTGAACTCGCCAGGACCATGAGCACTCGTACCTATCTGTACAACGAGTGAAGCAGGCGCTCCAGTGTACTCCACGAAATGCGAGCCATTGCAGGGCAAATATTTTCTCAAAGGCTGCATAAGTGTAAACGACCACCACGGGGGCACAAACAAGACCGCATGGCTTAATAAAAATGAAGCCGTCACTCTTGAGGATTATGCGACAAACCTAAATGATAACCTATTCACGGAAGAACCTCGTAGGTCGCCATTTGAAACCAAAGAGTAAACAGAGGGGTTTAGAATGGGCCTTCACGAACGCGTTTTCATGTGAACACAGCTGTTGATAATGCTCGTTTCATGCGGCATGAAGATAACCCTGTTCCCTTCCAGATTACCGGATTAGCCCAAGCAAATCTCTGGCACGTAGTTGACCTATAGCGGTGGTTTACAATTGCCGCACAAGCACTGGTGTTGGGATTGTGAGCTCTCGCAAGATCCATGTTTATTTTAAGAAACTGCGGTGTGCCATCTAAAAATTAAACAGTAAAAACGTAGAAACTGATCAGTTTTTTTTATAGGAACGCGTTCTTACAATGATGACACATACTGATAACCGTAGTAAAGTTAGTTTGTTCAGTAGCGCAAACTGTACCGTTATTCGATTTAGTGTCGAGCTATGTTTCTGCACCAGCTGAGATGGTTTGTGTTCGTTGTTCAATATTGATATTGTATTACGAAAAAGAAGCTAGAATGCAAACGTTAATTTTCTTTCGCCATTATGTGGAGGGTAGACTCACTTTCACTTCCAGAGCTGCTTGCTGATGAAAGAAAGTCGTTTACTTATTTGTTTTTTTTTCTAACTTCATCTCAGCCAACACTGTTTACGCTTGACGTGTTACTGACACGTGATACTATTTAAAGTGCATTGTATTTTCCTGCCTCAACCTGTTTCTTCGATATTCACACAATACTTCCGCACATCCGTGTAACTCGATTATTTTCACTTTCTATTTAGCTCGCAATCTTGCACGCAATTAACAAGTTCGGCATTACCCAGTCCTGTAGCCTTTCACCGGTCTTTTCATGAAGTAGGCGATTTTCGTTGGGCCTAGTTTCAACGCTTGACGAGCTTTAGTATGTGGTAGGCCTCCTGTGTGGCGTAGTTTAGGTCATTAGATTCACGGACTATGAGGTGCTGCACAAACAGCAGCCCCGCAAGTGACTATAAAGGAACTGACTTTTCACGCTTTTGCATTCACCACTAACTAAAAAAAAACGTTAATTTAACCTATGGAATTTTGTGGCGTATGAATATCAAATGAAAAAAGTTCACTGAATATATGTGTTTTTGTACCTTTCGCGCATGTATGCTTGTATCTGCATATTTGCATGTTCCGTGTGCGAATGTGTTCCCAGTGCGAATGTAATCTCGCACATGATCACGGCTTATAAACATGGTGACATTGTCATTTTATTTCTCGCTCTTCCTTTTTATTTTTTGCGACAACGCTGTCCTCTCCTTTTCGTCCACCTAGTATCATTACACTTCTCGATGTCTACGAATGAAATAGCTAGTTAATCGACAATGAGATACCAGCATTCGATGATAAAATATTTTGAACTTTCTAAGCTTACGGAGAAAACAGAAAAACAAAGTTTATGGGTCAGAGTTGCACGACGTAGTTCATTAGTTATAGCAATGTGGGCCTTTGTTGCATAGTACCCAACAAAGTGACACAGAGAGCAAAAAACACTCACAACCTCATGCTAAGCGTACATGTGTGCAGTTGTTCGAGTTCCCTCTTGTTCTTTGTTACGTGCCCTTCATCGCAGTCTATTGCAACATGTGTGACATTGTTTTCATGGGACGTTAACAAGCTCCTGATACGCGTACATGTCTCTGGTTGTGCGCGTTCCCTTTCTCTTCTGTTACATGCATTATAACGTAGTCCATCGCAACGTGTGTGACGTTGTTTCGATGTGACGTTATAAATAACACGCGTTTCAGCGAATACGTGTTCGATAAGTGACTTCTCTCTCCCCGTCTCCGCATGTCCTGCAAGTAAAAAAGTAAAGAATGAATCAAAAAGATATGAAAAAGAGGCTTTTCACCAACTTAAAAACACCAATAAGTCCAAATGTTATGGTCGTTATTTTCGTATCCAGACGCTGTGGGACGGACGTCTCGAAGCCATTTGTTTCTTTTGTAAAGGCAGTGGAAACAACGACGAAGAATGCGCGTGGCATACAGATTCCGAGATTGACAAGTAAAAAAAAGCAAAGAAATGCGGCACGCCATCTCTTGGCGGTACGATGGTTGGTACGCGGCAGTACAACTTTCTCTTCTTCGAGTGCCAGAGGGAAAACGTGAGCTGAGTGCAGTGCCTCCAGTGCAGAACATTTCTTTTTCCTTCGATGTTTTCCAAAGCTTTACCGTATTCTCCTATGTATTTTGAGTTTACCCGAATGCGTGTTTACACTAACCACAAAGCCGTGACACGCCACGCGAACATCACAACGATGCTGGCCTCCTGCCAAGACAAGCATAACTTTAGAAGCGTTTTCAAACCAAACAAATTGTAAATGCCTGCGATGTGAAAGCGCATCTCGTGCTACACGATGGAAGCCAGTACATCAACAAGTACGCACTGCTAAAGAAACTTATTGTCTGCGCGTTTTCATAGTAGGTTTTGCTCGCTTTAGGCCTACATTCACAGCACAAAAGAGCCAGCTGGCCTGAAATATTTAACTTCTCTCTCTCTCTCTTTCACACACACACACACACACACACACACACACACACACACACACACACACACACACACACACACACACACACACACACACACACACACACGCACACGCACACGCACACGCACATGCACACACCACACACCACACCACACACCACACACACACACACACACACACACACACTTCACTTGTGCGCATGAAGGTGACGTGCCTATACATGAATTTGTAGCAGCGCTCGCGCGTAAGCTTCTTGCATCCACAAGGACATTGCCAGAAATGTATATATGCTCACATTGTAAACGAGATGTCATTTACATAGTTGCCTTGCACTCTTCCATCACTGTCAGGTGTCTCTTTTTCTATGCTTTCTCGAAGAGTTTAGCGTAGCGAGACGGAAGCTCGTATCTCTTGCCTACTTTTGCACACTGTTGTAGTCCTTATCCTCATTTACCCCTTCAAATAATAGTGTTATTTAGGGCCCGAGAATGATTGATTGTCCTTTTCTCCGTTAAGGCCTTGATGAAGGGTTGTGCAGCTGTGCTCTCAATATAATTCCAGGGTTTGTAGAGAAGAATCAGAGATGGCGAGAGGGAGAGAGGTTGCCATGGTCACGTATTGCGAAGTTAAGGCGAAATTACGTTAAGTGATGAGAAAGTTTTTCCAGAAAACCCCATTTTACAGTGAGCGCTGTTATGAGATCAAAACTGGGGTCTCGCGCGGCATCGTAGTTGTCCGCCAGCGCAGCTGCCACCGCCGCCGCCGGTGTCCGTAACCACTAGATAAAAAAAAATTAGCACCAATGACACAGTGGGGCTCGAACCCGGGTCCGCTGCGTGGCAGTCCACTATTTTACCGCTGAGCGACGCCGGTGCTGGGACCTGTTCGCAAACTTTCTTTAGACAGACTTGATGTCGGGAAAAGAATCGCGTTAATACGAGTCATAAAGCGTTTTAGAACAACAAAAGAACATCCAGTCGTCACACAATGCGAATTGCGTCACGAGTGTGTCGTCCATTGCTCCAACTCACAACAAAAGATTGTTCTCGGTCATCTAATAACTGTGGCGCGTACCCACTTCAGGCATAATCACTCATCGTCGTCAGCCGCTGAATGAAAAATTGGCGCACAATTTCTTGCAAGCGTTAAGTGGATACCACGCTTCTCAGAAGAAGGACAAAGGATGGCATAGAAAATGTTGGCCTACTACCCAGAAATTATTCCTATTATTATAGCCGTAGTGCCCAGCAAGTGTGCTCGCAGCAGTTACCCAATGAGTGTTTAGAAAACGCTCTGAAAGGCCGCTATTCTAGCTTTCGCTGTGACTGTGCTGCCACTGCTTCGCTTTCAGCGCAAGCATGGCATTTTTTGTACTCTTGCTCTAAAATCCTTTGGATTACTGCAGCACGGTTCAGTTATGAAACTTTTGATCGCAGTCAGTGTCGATCCAGATCAGGTTCCTTGATTGCGATTAACAATGGCCGTTGCAACTCCGTCCGAAACTAATCCGGATAAAGTAAGGTGCTGACGTCAGTTAAATCGTGACCAGAGTGTTGGGTTATTACATGCAGAATCCCGAATGTCTTGGTCTCTGGAGGGCCTGATCGTGATTAAATTTGCCTGCGTAGCAGCACATGATCTGTATTGATTGTAATTTGTATCAGCCCCGACCGTGGTCAAAAGTGACCGCGCAACACCGATGCTATACATACGCCAATTCTAAACTTCAATCACATTCCAACGTTATCACATTAAGTAACAGAATCACTGACCGCTGACATAATTGATAACAAGACATTGCGGCTCCCATACTGGGAGAGCATTTATGATAAGTGGCAAGAAATAGTGAACAATATCTTAAGATATATTTTCTTATCTTTATCAATAGGTTCGATAATCTGGCATTAAAAAAACATTCGATGACACACTACGCAACAAAGGCTTGCCAATTTGCTTAGGTCTAGAGTACTCTACGACCACCTGCACACTCGATACGCTCATTCAATTATGTACCTGATTAGTTATCTTTTTCGCTTGTTTTTTTTCTTCTGACTAGCCTATCCCTAGTGAAGGGTGAGATAGGGGTCTCGCACTTGGGTAACCTCAATGCCTGTCCTTGAATCTCTATTGCATTACAAACAAGACTTCCCTACGAAAGGCAAGAGGTTCTGCCTTCCCGGTCTTGCCTTGGTAGGAAACCGGAGTTTTTTATGATTAGCCTTCCTGATTTTCTTTTATCTCTCTTCCTTTCTCTCGGTATTATTTGCTTTCAAAGGAAAATCTCTAAATGTCTCGTTTGACATCAACATGAGCGAAGGACGGATGTCACGTAAGGTGGTACCAGAAACCCCGAGACATACGCCACTAATGTGTCAGGCAATGACGTCAAGCGACGATGTCTAGTTGAAGATGGAACAAAATCTACTGGCAGCACCAAAGTAACTACACACATGTCTCACACTACGGGTAATTTTGTCATGCAAGACGTCTAGTCTCCCTTGTAGGCCCGTGTGCTCAGATTTGGGTGCACGCTAAAGAACCCTAAGTGGTCAAAATTTCCGGAGCCGTCCACTACGGCGTCTCTCATAATCATATGGTGGTTTTGGGACGTTAAACCCCGCATATTAATAAACGTCTAGTCCCCGAATGCATAACTTAATGCATCACCAAACCTACAGAAGTATTTCAGCTTAACGTTGCAGAGAGTAACATGCTTCTCAACTTTTCTTGTAAATGCCTTTTTGTTTTTTTGGACTACTAACATATGATTTGTACTGCCACTACCATATTTTAGAGCGTTCCTTTATTCGGCGCTCCTTTTTGGCTAAAAAGATTGGATGACAGCGCCTCCTTTATGTCAAACTGGCCAGTTTGTATGATCGATAATCAACAGCAACGTTTTATAATCACGATGTCAGTTTTAGTCGGATGGTGGTGCTGGCATCAACTCGCTCGAGCGAAGGACAAGCCGAGGCTCGTTTGAGAATAAGGGCACCAGACGACTGCTGGGCAATACTCACAGTAGACTTCGAGCTTCCAGCCTTCCTCGAGCGCGCTTCCGGGTATGGCCTTGTTCTCGGCTCGGCACGACAGGATGCGGTTGTTGTCGTCCACCGTTGGCGTGAACAGCAAGACTGAAGTGCTGGCGCTGAGACCCCCTCCTCCTCCGGCACCGCCGGCGGTGTCCTCGGAGTCCCTTGCGGAGCGGACCTGCTGGCCGCCCTTCCACCAAGTGAGCGTGGCTGGAGGCCGCGAGCCACTGGACGAGCACACGAGCTCTACCTCCTTGTTGGCCGACAGGGGACGCTCGGGGGGCTGAATTGTGACGTCCAGTGGCTTCACTGTGAAAATACGCATAAGGGCAGTGTGCGCCTTAAACATTGGTGCAAAACAACATTGTGCGCTGCACTATGCCAAAGGGCAGGTTTTTTAAAATGAAGAAAACAACGAAAATATTTCTTTACTGAACTTATTAAGCTGGAAGACTTAGATGCCCCATGAAACACACACACACAAAATTTTGGCCGGCGGCATTTTTCACCTTACCATGTGAAGTCATAATGACATCACTATGAAGTTAAATAACATTATTTGCATATGACGTACATATTGTGGCGGCATCTCATGACATCACCGCTTGGTGAAAGGTAGGCCTATTATGGCCGCGATGAAAAATCATGTGGAGTGCAGAATGCGGAAAGCTTGCAATGCCTCACATTCTGGAGACAGTGCAGAATGACGTTGGGTGCAGCGACGTGCTTTCGTAGGGGCTTATAGGCGAATGCCTATTTCGTTTCTTGCGTTTCTATTGTGCCACTTAGATATATGAGCATGGATTGGAGTTGAAGAAAAGCTTCTATAGTGTCTTTATAGCGCCTATAAATGCCTATTTTAGACGTTTGTGCCTAAATTTCTTTAAGTGCCTATAAATGCCTGTTTTCAAAATCGGGGCCTATATGAACACTATTTAACCTCAAATTTTGCTTTCGAGTACAGTTGGAGACCAATACTGATGTTGTCAGGGAAAATTGAGCTTTCACAACTCTAAGAATGCAACATATACTCCAACTAATAAGTTGCTTTCAGCACTTTCAAGGCGACAAGACATTTTAGCCAATAGGAAGGTTGATTACCCTTCACACATGTATTCGTCCATGTCGCATCGTCTGCTTACCATCTCCCCAGCATCTGCTCGCATGCGTATAGGAAACAGGTGATGCTTCTATGCAGCCGCAGAACGATCAAGAGCGAATGCGAAATCGTGCAGTGCCATAAGGGGAAAGTGGAATGTAGATAATAAAAAAGACGAAGGATGTTCGCGGGTTTTTGTTTAGCTTGCCATTTACTTCTTAAGCGGTGCGTCAGTAGGTCACACGAGAAATTTCGCTTATACACTGCAGATTGTTGAGTGCTCAATCAAAAGCTTCGCACCGCAAGAATTTTTAATAACTTCATTACAAGCTGCGGAAGCATGATGCGAGGAGATTATATTGACACCTTTGTCACTCGCTCGGTGTAAACGTCGCAAGCCAAATTAGTTTGCTGCCTGCTTCGGTATCGGAGCAACTCGGAGCCGGAAGATCACATGATACAGACGCACCAACGCGCCATGCGCACGCAAGATTACATTTGCATTACATGTCCGTGCCATGCCACGCACGCAAGCTATGTTGCGTCGTTTCCACGTTGTCTGCATTGTACTGCCTCTTTCTGTGGGATGAGTACCCTTCTGCGCGCACGTTTTGAGAGGCTGGCATGGATCATGTATCCTCACGATACATAGCGCCGCACCCCTGGAATTTATCTAAGAGACGATGCACCAAAAACGCGCCATGAATTGTCAGCGCTGGCACCAGCAAGATGCGAGGACGGCGAGAACACCAATGCAAATGAAATGAAGGCAGCTTAGCGTTGCAGTCTCGCTCGGTACGCAGCTTTAAGAAATAACGCACATAGATTGCGTTAGTATACGTCTTAATATCTCTGTCAACCTTCATAGTTCCATTCAAGCAACAGAGTGCACAAATTACACACGACACCCCGACTAATTCTCGCAGTGTCGCATACTAATTTGACGTACGGAGAGCCATTGCTTGTTGTATAAGTCACATCCACAATGTTGGGGAGCGTGCCTGTGAGATGGTCAAGCGGAGTTCAGTCTGACATGTAACTTCTTACCGGGGCATGTAGTATTGCAAATCTTGGCAGACGAGATCGTGAGCGCCCAGTACATGCATTCCTCTTGTCTGCTTGCAATTCTCACACGTGGTGAAGGGCCCTTCAAGATGCCCACAGACAGAAAAGAAATTGACGCTGAGTGGTAAGGCCAAGCTAATACGAGGAAAAAAAAAGATCCCTCTAGCCTATCAGTGCTCTGGCTTTTTGCTTCAGTGTTACCCTTCTCCTTGTTTATTTACAAAAGTAGGAGCCTGTTTATTCGAAGGTGGACACTTAACTCACCCTGATGGACTAAAAAAAAAATGACCGTATTCTGCAAACACTGCGGGAAAAAATGGAATGGCCAAGCTAGACCATTTGCGCCTTTGTACTATCATAAAATAAAATATTTATGTTTGCTTTCCTATCGTAGACACACATCCCACACGTGCTTCTTCAAAATTTTTGCTTTAAATTTATTGTGCTTATATTTACGATTTTGGGGGCCTAAAATAGTGTTTCGCCCTACTATTTTCGGCGCCTAAAACATCGTTTTTTAATGCCTGCCAACCGGCCTCTAATAATCAGTATTGCAATGTGCATGTGGATTACATCGACTTGAGAAAAGTATGGCTTTCGCCTTACAGTACGCTCAGGCGGATGCATTAAGGGACCCCGTGAGTTTGTCGATGAGCTTACTTGAAAAGACACTTGCACCTGCTGCTCTTGCTATTTACATCCCATTTATTTCGACAGTGTAGACTTGCCAACCCGAAACTTCCCCGGTTAACACTGCTGCATTATTTTATCATTCTTATTTTTCTTGTCTCACTACGCCCGAAAGTCATGCTGCATAGGCATTACACTAGACAGTTATAGCATCGCTCTCTGCTTTGTTCTTCTGCAGTCAGTTATATAGTGTAGCAGACTTAACGGAAGAGTGGGCTAGGTGCACTAAACGACACTAGTATTCACCGTACGCAGAGTAATGTTCAGATATAGCATTATGGTGTTTGCGTGTTAAACGCAGTGTACGTGAAACATGGCAGCGGTTTCGAGCGTCCGCTTCGGATTGAATTTAGCGTTGATGTGGACATATGTACTCTCGTTGCAAACGATCGAGTAAAATGGCTTCGACTGTCTTCAGGTAGCTTCGACGACCGAATATTACGACGACTGAACAAAGCGTGGTTTTTCAGATAGCTTCTCAATCTGAATGTCAGGGGGCCTACTAGAGGATTGCTGTAAACAAATCTGCAAGATAAAAAGTTTTACTTTTGTGCATGGTTCATATATATATTTTTTTACTTTTACTGTTACAAAAAACTGTAGTAATTTTGACGTATGCAGAGATGCAGGCGGTAGTTTTTTGAGTCTTTTCACTTTTTTTAAAGCGTTCACCCTACGGTAGGTGACGCCACCATCACAGCTTGGGAATGTAAACGCGATCCTGTTAGCTTGTAGCGGAGAGGCAGAAGAAGATCGGTGCTGCTACATGCGTTACCAAAACCAACTGATTTTTTTTGACGAGCACAACTAAGGATCGTGCCACAGTAACGCTAGTTGCTTGAACCACGCGATCACGATGACGCTAAGCTATAGCTGTCTACTTATCTTTCTTTCGAGTCATGGGGCTCGGTTGTACTTGGCTGCTTAGCAAACTTGCATGAAAGCTTAGCGACTAAGGTTCTGCTCTTCTAAGCTAGAGAGAGTGGGTTCGATTCCTTGTTACGGCAGGCTCATTCCTATGGGTGTGAAATGAACTTAATGAGGAGTAAGAAACCTCAGGTGGTCAAACTTATTGAAGAGTATCCACCTACGGTGTGCCTTCTTGTACTATGCCTGGTCTTGGTACTTGACACCAAACAGTCTAAGCTTTCCTTTAATGTTTGATAGCCTGAATGCGTTGGTATTATTATTAATAATGATATTTGGGGTTCTACGTCCCAAAACTAAGAGATATTTACGAGAGGCGCCTTAGTGGAGGCCTCCGGAAATTTCCACTATCTGTTGTTCTAAAGAACACCAGTTGGTGCACTGACATCGTACAGTACATGGGCTTCTACCATTTCAAATACATCGAAATGTTACCGCCACGGTCAGCATCCAACCCGTGGTCTTTGCGTTGTATGAGTTTGCAGGGATGCGAGATAAGGATATTCGAAGACGATAGATACGTTGGAAAATAATTTACCTTGGCCTTCAAAAGTAAAACATGATAGCGTAATTGGGCACTGTGACCATGGCCTTTTCAATCGCTAGCTTCGTTCTGGTTCTCGGCTCATCACTTAACCGTACCATAAAAAAATGAATGACTGTGTGCAATGAATGACTGTGCCTTAAAGTAGGTGAGTTTTAGAGCATCTACTAAAAGTGCAGTTGTTAAGTGCTCAGCACACATTTATTCTTTCCCTTGCGAACAGTGAAGGACTCACTACACGTCCGTGAGGCAACGCGAAAACTTTCGCAGCTGCCGATTTGGTTTGTGCTTTCGCAGTTGAAGTATAATTGTTTAGGAGCACTTTGCAATAGGTGCCCCTTTAAAACACTCACTCAATGCGAAGTTCACATGTATTGACACCTGGCGTGATTCCACGCTTCTGACACGTAATATTACATGTGATAAGGATGCCTCTTCTACTACACTGATTTTCGCTTTCCGAAATCGTCTAAATCAGTACCGTGGCTCTGTGGTAGAACGCCTTGTTGCCATGGAGACGTCCAGAGTTCGATGCCATTCACACTGAAGTTTTTATTTAATTTATTTGCATATTTTTTTTTGGATCACGGACTAGATGATGGTTTCTAACTTACAACCTGACGATGCCGAAACCGATTCCAACACTGGAATTTCCGCAGAACGAGCTCTTTAACGCTACCGCGTTAAAACACGATCACTTCAGGTGAACGAAAACATTAAAGTAGTGTCGCTTATAGACAGTTGGACACTGAAGTTTGTTGCCACAAAGTACTCTAGACAAGGTCACTTGACTTGCTTGACAAAAAAGTGCACTATAGAGAAACGTGATTTTATTAGTTTTACCAAAAAGTTTTCTTAAAAATCAAAGGTGCCACTCTGAACTATGCGGAATGAGTCAGAAGTTCAAATTAATGAGTTGAAGAAGAACAGATACTACGTCCAACAGCTGACACAACAGCGTCGCGGCACCGTCGTTTCAAGCGA